TTTTTTTTTTTTATATCCATTTTCGTTTTAAAAATTAGAAATTGAAATTGTTTGCTGTTGTTTCTGTTGCTGTCGTTTATATATATACGTTTTATATTATTCATTTTGACTTTTTTTTTTTTTTTGTTACGTTTTCGTCATGTCGGTCGTGCATTTTTACCTTCTCTCTCTTTTTTTTTTGTGTTTAGTTTTTTTCTTTTGGACAAGTTCATTGTCGACGGATAAACGACGGTATTATTATAATAATAATAATAAGAAAAAAGAATTCAGGATTTTGAAAATCAAATGACACGAGAGGTCAAGGACGTAAAATTGTCTATAAGCCTTTCGCAGACCTTGTGAATGTTGTTGTTGTTGTTGTTGGTTTGCACGCCCATGAAATGTACTTGGACCTTTTTAGTACAAAGAGTGAGAGAGAGAGAGAGAGAGAGAGACTCATGTTTGAAATTAATTTCTTGTGTTTCGATTTCTTCTTTCCTTTCTGACACGTTTTTTTTTTTTTTTTGTATAGTTTGTTGTTTGTTGTTTGTGTCAAAAAAAAAAAAATTTTTAATTTGAGTTAATATTCCCTCCCTTCACTCCCCCCCCTCCTCCCTTATCGTGTCGTCAGATTTTTTTTTTTCTCTGTGTTTTGGTTGTTGTTGTAGTTGCTGATTTTGGTTTCCTTTTTTTTTTTCTCTCTCCCTTTTCTATCTCTCTCTTTCTCTCCCTCTCTCCATCCCTCAACCCTCTCTTTCTCTCTCTCTTTCCTGTCGGATGTGTTTTTATTTGGAATTTTTCCCGAATTAATTTATCATTTACAACCGGGATTTTTTTCTTTTTCTTTTATTATTATTATTATTATTAAATATTTAATTAGTGAATTTTAGTTTTTCATTTTTATCATCCCCCCCCCGCATTTATCGACCGCATTCTGGTAAAATCATCATTTTCATCCCCTTTTTTTTTTGTTTTACTGCCCCCTTGATGGATTAACGTTTGATGCAATGTCATGGAAAAAGAAAAAAAAATTTTTTTTTACGTTTAATGATGCCAAAACCGGTAGCAAACAATTTTTTTTTTTTTCAATTCAGGTATAGGATGAATTCTTTTTTTTTTTTTTTTCTGTTAAGCGTCAGGGCTGGGTCAAATTGAAAAATTTTTCAGGTTTTTTTTTTTTTAATCAAAACGTGTTAGAGAGTATGTTTTATTACTGTTATCATCATCATCATCATTATTACTGTTTTTTTTTTGTATGATGCATTAGTTTAATTTATTTATTTTTTAAGGTTTAGTTATGATAAATTAAGCTTAAATAAATTGAATTGTCTTTAATATTAAAAAAGTGGAAGAAGAATTAGGAGAAGAAGAAGAAGTGAACGTTTTTAAAAAAACAAATAGTTTTATTAGCTTGATTATTTTTCATATTTTCTAATGGTGTATGTGTGCGTGTGTGTGTGGTTTTAAGTATACCTCATCTTTGGTTCATGCATGCATACATACACTCACACGCACACACACACACACACACATACATTTATATATTGAAAAACGAGTTGAGTGGTTTGAAGGTTTTTAAATCAACTCCAAAGACAAGGTCAGGTATTAGCGTTGTTGTACTCCATTTCCGCGCATTAGGTTCGAACGTGTACCAAATTACAGCTCCAAGGTTTCTTTCGCTAATCCCCGAAGTAGCAAATTCTTAAACAAGTTAAGTTATTTTATCTTTCTCTTTCCCTCGTTTCATTTCAATACGTATTCATCCATATACATCTATCTTTGTTGTTAAAAAAATTTTTTTTTTTATATATCTCTCTCTCTCTCTCTCTCTCTCTCTCTCTTGCTCTCTGTTTATGGCATACGCACAAAAATTTTTGTCTTCGTTCTTCTCTCCTTCTCCAAAAATTAAAAGCATAAAAAAATCTATTCCAGTTTTCTCTCTGTCTCTATCTCTCTCTCTCTCTCTCTCACACACACACACATTTTATATTAGTTTGAAATCAAAAAATGGTATCTTTTTCGCATTTCATTATTGGTTAAATGTATTTTTTGTTTTTTAGGTACTGGTGTAGTTTAGATACCAAAGTTTTTTTTTTTTTTTTAGTTGATGACAGGAAGATTACTTTTATAAATTACAAAAGAGTAGTATCTTTGACGAATGATTTGGGGTTCGAAACCCTCCTCCTCCCTCCTCCCCTCCCCCCACAAAAAAAACAAACATCTTTGGTTTCCCTCTGAAATTTAAAAACCATAGATTTTTTCTTTTTCAAAACAAAAGAACCACTGTGTGTGTGTGTGTGTGTGTGTGCGCGTGTGTTGACGGTGTGATGTTGTGTTCGTGCGATTTACAAAATTGATAAAAATGTTTTTAAATTGTTTAATTCTTATGAAAAAAAAAATTAATGGAGTATAAATTGGGTTTTGTCAAAAAAAAAAAAAAAAAAAAAAAACGTTTTTTGTTGTCTGTTTTTCACTACAACCACGTCGTGACAGCATAGAAATCGATGATGAATTAAATTTTTACGTTAAAGTTATGGCGCGAATTTTTTTTTTTTTCTTTTTACCGAGTGATAAATAAATAAATAAAAAAATAATTATTACTTTCGATACGTCTCGTCGTACAACTATCGATTGATCGAATTTATTTATTTATTTTTTTTAATAATTGTTGCATTCGATTATCCGATTAAACGTCAGAAATTTGGCATAAGCAAAATTAGGGGTTCAACGTTCTATATGATAAGGCAAAAGATAGTTTAACCTTTTCCTATCATTATTATTATTTATTTATTTAAAGCCTAAACATGAAAAAATTTTAAATTTAAATTTGATTTGTTATTAATTAATGTTGTCGTTAATAAATTATTATTATTTGTTTTAAATGATTTAGTAAATAAATACGTGCTTCGTTGCTCTATTTTTGCCCTATTCGCGGTTTTTTTTTTAATATTTTTTTTTTATTTTAAAAAAATTAGTTTTAAACAATCAATTTCTATTTGTTATAAATAAATAAATAATTTAAATAATAGCTATAAAAACTTACCTCTCTATAAATATTTCTTGCGACATTTCAAACTATAAACGCACACTTTTTTTTTTTTTTTGTGTGTAGAGGGCGATCGTTGTTTGTTGTTTGTTTTGCGCTTGCGTTAACCCATTTTTTTTTTTTTTTTTTTTTTTTTTTCCTCTTCATTGATTTGGGTCCCATTCATGGATTTCTTCCCGACAAACAAAAAAAAAAAAAAAGGAAAAAAAGGGAAAAAAAAGGAAAGGAAAAAAAAAAAAAAAAAAAAAACTTCACTGTCATGCATCTAATATTGAACCTCCACCATGGCTTTTTTTCTTCACACACATGCATAATCATTTCTTTTTTTTTTTTTTTTTTTTTTTTTTTGG